AAATCCAAAAAAGAGTCATCTATCGGGCCAAAGGTCGCACTAACCGAATAAGAAAGAGATATAGTTTGATTAATTTATATTTGGGTCAAAAAGAAACGGTTGCTAATACAAAAGCACTCATAAAAAATAAGGTTAACCAAAAGCAAAAATAATATTATGGTAAACGCTCAAAAATGACTAGAAAGTCGAGAAGAATATAACACCAAAGAAAAACGAGAAAAAATAGCAGAGTTAAACATTAGTAATAAAAACTTAGAAGGAGAATTAGACTTAAGAGAATTCGAAAATTTGAAAGTATTAGACTGCTCTGCAAATAAATTAATTAATATTGATTTAAGTAACTGCAAAAACTTGGAGAAAATTGCTTGTTACGATAATCAATTAACCAGCACAGATTTTTTGAAAAAATTGCCTAATCCTGAGAATATAACTTATCTTAACATAGAAACTCCTCTAACTGACCAAGAAGCTATTAGCTGAGTAATAAGAACAGAAATTAGTTGAGGGTTTTTAAAGGAACTCATCTTGCTTTTAAAAAAGAGCGAAATTAGTTATAATGCTTTTTTAAGTATTTTAAGACTGCTAGAAGCAGAATCTTCACTGGTAAAGACGAAAGAAATTTCACAGTTGCCAGAAGCAGAATATAATATATTAGAAGATGTTAAAGAAAAAAGAGCTACTCCTGAAACCCAAAAAACAGATAACTCCTCTTTGTTTGATGCCGTAAAGAACGACGATATTAAAACGGTCAAAGATCTAGTTATCGAAAAAAAAGTAGATGTTAATATTTGCGATCAGGATGGGTTTACCCCCCTACATATAGCAGTGGCCCGCGAGCATATTGAGATAATTAAAATTCTGCTTGCTGCCCAAGCCAATCCTAACACACAAAGCAAGGAAGGCCACACCCCACTGCATTTTGCCGCCGAAGGAAATAATTTAAGGATTCTTAAACGCTTAGTCAAAAATAAATATGGCAGCCAAAAAGGGGACATTAATGCCGTCAACAAATATGGTTGATCAGTGTTACACAGTGCTGCTTCCGGAATAATTAAAGTAAAAGAAGACTGAGAAATTATGGAATGGCTATTGCAACAAGAGGGCCTAAATACTGAAGTTGAGACTGATGGCGATGAAGATTTTGAGAGGTGAACCGTTAGTGATGTCCTTTTCCAAAAAGATTATTCTTATGCTAAAATGTATGAAGATTTAGTGGAAAAATATAAAACCTCTGCGGAAATCCAGTTTAACCATTAGGAGGGGAATGAAACAGCAATGTTTAGGTCAGTAAGTTATTAAAATATACCGGTATTTGTTTTTGATATTTGTCAAATTTTGGTTATTTTTGCTTCTAATTCTTTTTCTTGTTCGGCAGTCAAAGAATAATTTCCCACAAATATTTCCTGAGCGACTCCTACTCGCTTATTGCCTTGGGAATTAATAAATCTTTGTGCTTTTTTAGTGAATTGTCAATAATCCTTATAGAGACCCTTAATAAATTCAGTAGCATGATTAGTCAATAATCATTTAGCGCCTTTTACTTCACATTCTTTTAAAAATTGGGCTAATTCTTGCTGATTTTTGCGAGTAAACTTTGCTGCTGTATAAGAGGTAAATCCATTGCCGTTGTCGCTGTCATAAGGCGGATCCACAAAAAGAAAGTCATTTTTTTGGATT